CTATACTACTTCCTTCCCAATCTCTACTTCCTATACTACTTCCTTCCCAATCTCTACTTCCTATAATTCTTCCTTTATTCCCAACTTATTTTCTCTTTTTCTTACTTCCCTCTTATAATCCCTATATAACCCCTTTCTTCTTCATATACTTCCTATCTATCCTCCATATACTTCCTTACAATTTATAATCTACTTCCTTCTTTATTTCTACCTTCTATACTTCCCATTACTCCTTAACTACCTCCCATTAAATATATACTTCTCTTTCTACTATCCTTTATATACTTCCCAACAACCTCCATAATATACTTCCCTCTTCTAATCCCTTCAATCTCTAATACACCTCCTCTCTCCAAATCCCTTCAATCTAAACTACTCCTCCACCTCAATCCTATACTTACAACCCATATTCTTTCATTAATATACTATTCCCTTATCCTTTACCTTTACCATTCTCCCTCTTATCCTACTTCTCCTTCTCAATTCCCCCTCCTTTCCCTCTTCTTCCTCTTCATCTCACTTTCTTACCCTTCTCCTCCCTTTCTTACCCTTCTACTCCCTTTCTTCCTCTTCCTCCCTCTTTCTTCCTCTTCCTCTCCCTTTCTTACTCTTCCTCCCTCCTCTCCTTTACCTACTACTTATTCCTCCCTCTTCCTTAAATCCTACAATCATATAATATATCAACCTATTAACTCTTCTACTAATACAATTCCTCTCTTCTTCCCCAATCCTACAATCCATCCTATAATATCTTTCCTCAATCTATAATACTCTTCCAATTCATAATATACTTTCTATCCAAAATTTCCTTCTCCCTTCTCCTTTTCCTCTCTTCTATTTCTCTCTTCTTCTTACTTCTCCTTCTTCATTCACTCTTCTCTTTTCTTCTCCTCTTACTTTCCCCTCTTACTTCTCCTTCTTCTTCCCATCTCTCCCTTTTCATTCTCCTTCTTCTTCCCATCTCTCCCTTTTCCTTCTCCTTCTTCTTCCCATCTCTCCCATTCCCTTCTCCTTCTTCTTCCCATCTCTCCCATTCCCTTCTTCTTCCCATCTCTCCCTTTTCCTTCTTCTTCCCATCTCTCCCTTTCCCTTCTTCTTCCCATCTCTCCCTTTCCCTTCTTCTTCCCATCTCTCCCTTTCCCTTCTTCTTCCCATCTCTCCCTTTCCCTTCTCCTTCTCCTTCCCTTCCTCCCTTCCTTCTTACTTCTCTATTCAACTCTTTCTTTCTTCCTTTCTCTCTTTTCTCCCCTTCCTATTTCCTCCCTCCTTTATTCCGCTTATTCTATTCCTCATCCTTTCTCCCTACTTCTCCCTCTTCCTCTACTCTTTTACTCCTTCCTTTCTTTCTCTTTCTCCCCCTTCTTCCTACTTCCTTATTTACACTTCTTCTATCACACTTCTATCACACTTCTCCCTCTTACTTCCCCTTCTATCTCTTTTCTCTCTTCTCTTTCTCATTTTCTCCTTTTCTTTCTTCCCCCACCCTCTTACATCTCCTCCCTTTCCTCCTCCTTCCCTCTTCTTCCTTCCTCCTTCTCTACTTTTCCTCCTCCTTCCCTCTTCTTCCCTCCTTCTCTACTTTTCCTTCTACTTCCCTCCTCTTCCCTCCTTCTCTACTCTTCCTCCCTTTCCTCCTCCTTCTTCATTCCCTCTTCTTCTTACTTCTCCTTCTTTATTCCCTCTTCTTCTTACTTCTCCTTCTTCATTCCCTCTTCTTCTTCATTCTCTCTTCTCCTTCATTCTCTCTGCTACTGCATTCTCTCTTCTCCCTCTTCATTCTCTCTTCTCCTTCTTTATCCTCTCTTCTCCTTCTCTATTCTCTCTTCTCCTTTACTTTCCCTCTTACTTCCCCTTCTTACTTCTCCTTTTCTCTATCTCTCTTCCCTCTCTTCTTCTTTTCTTCCTCCTTTTCTTCCTACTTCTCTATTTTACTTTTCCTCTCTTCCTTTCTCTCTTTCCTCCCCTTCCTATTCTATTCCTATTTCTCCCTCTTCCTCCACTCTTTTACTCCTTCTTTCCTTTCTCTCTTACTCCTTCTTTCCGTTCTCTCTTTCTCCCCCTTCCTATTCCTTCTCCTTTATTCCTCCTATTCTATTTCTTCTCCTTTATTCCACTTCCTTCTCTTTTCTCCTCTCTTCCTCTCACTTTATTCCTCTTCCTCCTATTTCTACTTCTTCCTTCCTTCTTCCTTCTTCCTTATTCTCACTTTTTCTATCTTACTTCTCCCTCTTACTTCCCCTTCTTATACTTCTATTTCCCCTTTTCTATCTCCTTTCTCTTCTTCGATCACTCTCTCCCTTCTTCCTTCTTACTTCCTTCTCATTTCTTCACCTCTTCTATCTTATCTCCTTCCCATCTCCTCACCTCTCCTATCTCCCTACCTTCCCACTTCTCCCTCTCTTCCTCCCTTCTCTTCTCCTCTCTTCCTCCCTTCTCTTCTCCTCTCTTCCTCCCTTCTCTTCTCCTCTCTTCCTCCCTTCTCTTCTCCT